TTATTCCCCCTCAGGGACGCAGAGCCCTCACTCTGATGGAGAAGAGAGGAGGCTGCAGCAGCCCTCAGGACACATCCACTCCAGCCTTCCTCTTGGCGCCAACGCAGCACTGCCTCATGTCAAACAGGAGGCAATAGACAGGGAAGACGGTGGGGAGGAGGGAAGAGAGGGTTCCATGAAACAGTCGAGAATTCAGTGTTTTTCCACAGCAACACCTTTCCCCCAGATGAAAAACCAGCATGAGGACTCCATCACTGGCTGCCGCGAGCCTCACTTGGCTGGCCAGGTCCTGAGACAGGAAGACGGGATAAACAGCCAGGCTCAAAGGCTTTACCCTGGCACAGTCTCCATAGATGGACCCCAGAAAGCCAGTCAGTCCAGGCATGAGGGGGAAGATGCCACAAAGTCGCCTGTTGACCCGGTCAGCTTCAAGGCTTCGTCAGAGCCCTGCCGTAGCAGCCTGGAGGTCTCCCTGAACTCCCCCTCTGCTGCATCTTCACCTGGCCTCATGATGTCAGTCTCCCCTGTCCCTTCATCCTCTGCACCCATATCACCTTCGCTGCCAAACCCGCCCTCAACAAGCACCAATCACAGCCTGGACGCTGGCCAGATCCCTCCATTCCAAAGCCCCAAACTCAACAGAAGCACTCAGAGACGCAATGAGAAAATGGCCAACCTTAATAACATCATCCATAGGCTAGAGAGAGCAGCCAATCGAGAGGAAACACTGGAATGGGAGTTTTAAGCCTCCTTTTACTTGCATTTAGTCCTGATGATCATCGCGGCACACTGGAGAGTCTCAGACAGAAGCTTCCTGAAGACTTTGAATGGAGCCTGGCTCATGAAGGCCTGTCCTCTAAGACTGATAACTCACAGGAAACAGGAACACAGAACTGAACATATGGCTGAAATCCCTGAGAACACTTAGAGTTAACTTAAAATGTTTATAAATGTGTATTTGTTTCGTTTTGTTTTTTGATAATGCATACTACTTTGAAATCTATGTGACAGCACTAGCTGTTATTTTAACCTACTGGACTTGACATGAAGACTTTTGCAGCTATGGTGTCATAAAATGTACACTGAAGTCCTGTAGATTGCCACTGGGTGAGATTAAAAAGACCCTTGTCTTAAGCCATTAAAAGCACTATAACTATTTGAGAAGAGACACTGACCAAATTTGCTACTTTTTGAATAGCAATTTTTCTGATTTTGTCTGTAAGACTGGACAGTTTAAGTCAAGTAACATGAAATCCTATTACTGACTGAGGGATAGTCCTTTAAGACTCTAAATATTCATCATCTTGTATGTACTTAGTTTCTTGGTGATATGTTTTGAAATATTTGTAACTCACACATATAAAATGTGGTTGTACATGTTGTAGAATTGTCTGCAATAGCCCTCTCTAAACCTGATGTAGCATGGTACACACCTGACCCTGTTATCCTCTGTAGTTAGTCACCTGTGATTATACTTGAGCGAAAACAAGAGAAAAAAAAAGTTGAAAACGCTGCAAAAAAATAAGAAAAAAGGAAACGGTTCAATCTACTGAGTAGAGTACTTTTAGTGTTTTGTTTTCTTTTTTCTTTGAATAATCCTTGAGGTTTACAGTTTAGGGCCCTTGTGCTTCTGGTAGTAAATGAGACATTCACTACTCATGAGCACAGTTTACATGATTGCTTTCAGACTTACCTCTCTAACTCTCCTAAGACGCTGGTTCTCAGACTGTAATGGGCCAAGACACAGGACACCTAGCTTACCTCGATTATGTTGATGCACATCATGCTATGACCAGGCATTTCATTCTTATACATAAACATGACCCACACTTATTTAAATCAGTGGAGGTAAAGTACAGGTATCATGCCTCCACGTAGAGAGATCAAACCCCAGTTTTAATGACAGACATCTAGCTTTTACAAAGAATTTGCTACTGTTGGAATAGACAGGGAGCTAACAGTTCTTGCGCATTATGCTCCTCCTGATTGAGTGCACTTTTTCAAAATGGGTCTTTTACTGTAGCTACAATAACTTGTACTTGATGAAACACCTCCAACCTCTAAGCACTGAGATGGTGTTTTGCTGGGCAGTTTGATGATCTTGGGCCATAACTAGGGCTAAAGCTCACAGAATCTGAGAGCATGATACATACAGCATGACCTCTCATCAACATGAAAACATTCATTCTGTAAGTACACTATATTCAAGGACACAAAAGGTTACAGGTATCCCCTCATATTAACTTTGACCACTTGTGTATTGTGTCTGTAGAAGTTTCTTTGTCATGCTTGCAAGATGTTCTTTATGTATTTTGCCTCTATTTTATACTCAGAACAGTTAGCTAGATATACAATACCTCGTGTATGAACTACTTACAGCACTTAGATTTTGATAATTGTGAGGACTCAAGAAAATTTCAAATATCAACATTATCTTAACTTAGTGTCCACAAGTCTTTGCCTTTTCTGTATCGTTGAAGTTGGTAGTAAACACTTGCACATGTCTACATAGTTCAGAGGACTTGGATTGTATTATGTAGAGATATATATTACACAATTGCTAAAAAACATTACTATCTTACATTCTTGGAACAAAATGTGCTGACTATATTGAAATAGAGTGTACAGATTTAATAAACCAAACCCATTCAAGCCAGTTCTGGTCTGGCAAGCTTGCCCACATTTTAGACCTTCTCTCAGGGTAGTCTTGCTTTTTAAAGCTTTACTGAAACAGTTGCTCTCATCAGTGGTGATGGCTATGAAAAACAGTGTGTGGTGTAGAGAATGAATCTGTTATATATTCAGTGGACCAGTGAAAGTTGTACTGTATGTATATGGGAATTGCAGCTTTCACAGAAAGCAGTGGTTTGCCGGAGAGTTGTTGCTGTTTTGTAATTCATTACACAGATGTGTCAAAGTACAGTGCAGATTGGAACCACCGGGACGAGGCTAATGGGTTGTGTTTCTGAGACCAGTAGACTTTGTTCTCTAAAAAACTGTTCTTGTTTTCTCTAGGAGCCACAGAAGATTTTTCTCTGGTTTTCGTACCACCATTTTTGTGCATAATATACGGTATGATTAGAAGTGGCATTTCTTAAATGGAAGTTTCATTGTCTTTCATGGTAACATGAACATATGACTGAAAAAGAAATGTATTTACCCAGACCATTATATCTTTATGTAAAGCTCATCTCATTGTTTTGCATGCGAGTCCATTCTGGTCAAGTGACAAGGGATAGATTGTGTTTTTGTGTTGGTTTTTTGGGCACAAGGACATTGAATCAGCACTTGAAGTCTTTTTACATTGATGAAGTCCATGCGTGCTACAGCTAATAAAATTGGCTCTCACAAAGTTATCATGAATTCAGTCAAATCAGACTCCAAAAACAACCCAGCAAACATTATTTCCAAGTCAATATTTAAATCAAGATTATTTTGTGCCATATCATATACCTCATGCATTATCCTCACAGGAGAAATGCCTTGTGGTAATGTGCGATCTAAGAGGGGTGTAGGGCTTTTTGTCACCCAGGTCAGAAAAAAAAAGCTAAGCTTTTTTAATATTAGCCCTATTTAGATGGTTTTATTTTATAATTGACATTAGTCACTAAATAAGATAATTGGTCAACGAATTTGAATAACTGCATTCAGAGTTGTTAAGAAATTAAACAATATTTACAACTGATTCTGAGGGCTTGTCACAAAGAAAAAAATACACTTGAAAGTCAGCCCATAAATAGAAGTGTCCTGCAGGCTTCAATAACTGACTGATGCCTCACATGTCAGGCTAATAAAGAATGGACAAAAGTATGCCAAGCGTCTTCGAATTTGCATATGTAAGCCATCATTCAATACATAATTGTTTAAGATTCTGCTGTGTTGTGTGTTTATTTCTTTATGGAAAGTAATGACCACCCTTTTGCCACATTTATAAATAGTACAGATTAATAAATAAAAAATGCAAACAAATTCGTAAAAGAGCTGTCATATGTACTATATGAATCTACAGCATACTAGCCATGCTGTCTGGAACATTTAGTACTTTCTACACTGTTGGTAGCTTTCCGATTATTTATGCCCATTGCAGAGACCATACAGGGTATCAGTTATTTGGGCAGCTACGGCCTACTGTTTAAATGATAGTACCGCGTGGTGTGCCTGAGCCCCTCCTCCTCACAAAACATTGCCAAGACGCGTGGCGTCACGTTGCTATGACGCAATGGCGTCACAAACGTAGGTTGGGCTGGAGAATTCGCGGCGATGGCGACGGCGGTTCTTTGCTGGAAAGGGACGCAGTGAAGCTGGCCTCAGCTCAGATATGACTAGCGTTTTTTTGATCGAGAATTATTTGCTGCTTAGTTCTTGCGCAGGCTTCGGATGAATACTTGGCTTCTAACTTCTCATAATTCCTTTCACTGGTGAGTCCGCCGGCTGTGGTTGTTTCCTCGCTGTTTTGACAGAGGCCTCCTTTTGGGGTCCGCCCTCCATCTCATAACAACAAAACAGTTGCTGTAGCTCGACCAGTTAATGCTAGGTAGCTAGTTAGCTGACAGTCTGGTCTGTGTTAGAGCTGCTAAAACTGATACAAAACAGCACGCTTACTACTAACGTAAAATGTTCGCTGCTTGCAGTCTGAATATCAACTTTGGACTAAGCGTCAATATATGATTTACTATATCGACTTAACATTACCACTCGTAGTTAACTATTGACGTTAGCTAGCTGCAGAAAATCTAGCTTAATGGAAACCCAAAAGAAGGAAGAGCAGCAGTGATGTTAATGTTGGTGTGTTACCGCTAGCTAATAGTTGCTTTTGGCCAGTGTTGGCATGGGCATTTAATTATCTGTCTGACAAGCCTGTTAGCATCATTGACGTTAGCTACAGACTTTAGTTTTTGTATCTGTTTAGTTAACACTGATTATGTTGTGTTGCGATAGTTACTTTTGGCCAGTGTTGGCATGGGTATTTAATTATATGTCTGACAAGCCTGTTGGCATCATTGACGTTAGCTAAAGACTTTAGTTTTTGTATCTGCTTAGTTAACACTGATTATGTTGTGTTGCAGAGCATTTAGCTTAGCATTAAGATTAAGCTATTATCCAAAGTAATGGGCATGTTTATATGGGTATTTTAGAAGACCAGCTTATATCGAAGTACCAACATTACGTTTGTGTAAGCAAAAGCTAGCTTTCTTAAGATATCACCGTCCTCTTAGCTAGTTTTTATTGCAAAGCCCTAATGCTAACTGTGAGATAGCTTAATATGTATTCTTTCAGTCACAGTGCCGACGTGTATGCTTTATGTGTCACCCTGAACGCTTTTCAGTGCTGCTGTGCACTGTCATTGCTACCTGGTTTTCAACGTAGTCAAGCCAACTGTCAGTTATTGAAATTCATCGCCTCGATATTTCATTTTGAAATTTGAGATCAGCTTGGAGATTAAGGCTGCTTTCTCGGTAAAGTTACAGCCTGTGGTGCATGGTTCCCTGTCACGGGATAGGAGTAACGTTAAGGCTGTAAGGGGCTTAGCCCTCCCTGTGTGACTCTGAATTCAGAGCCAGGCTGAACCGTAGCCACGGGTCATGAGCCCGCTGCAGTAAACAGAGATGTGTGTGTGTGGCAGATATGCTTTATCGGGCAGCACCACCAGTAGAAGCAGGACTCCTCAGTCAGTGAAGTTATGACCTCCCTTCACAGTTTCACACCACTGTCAACAAGAAGGTGGTGCAATGGGGCCTCCCTGCCGTTGGTGTGTTGGGATTTTTGTCTCATTTTAGGTATCTCAAATCTTCCCGAGAAGGTGTATTAAGGGCCTGAGCCGCTCATTCACCTTCTCGGATCAGATTTCACTCTGTGCAAGTGTACTGACCTTTACAACTATTTGTGGGCTTGTAGACTTCCAGATCCCTAACAGGTTGTCTGTTTTGAAAAGAATTGTTACAGACCACTTGTGTAAAGATCGGTGAATGGTATTTCTTCAGACATTTTAACTTTATATTTAGCAGAAAATTAATTCCAACCCACCAGTCAAGTGCTGTGAAGTGTTTGGCTGTACATGTGCTTAACCAGCCAGTTGGGCAGGTAACCAACCACTGCTGGGTGGTCTGACCATTACCAAAATTTCTTTTATAATATTGTGTCTGCCATACTTTCCATTCACTTGCATTAACATCAAAACATAGTGGAAGTGAAATCGATGTGGTTTATGGTTTGGGTGTATTTCTGAAGATGAACATTAGATGATTATGTCATGTGACTGAGCCATGTCTGTATGCAGGCAAGGCTGTTTAGTGCTTCAGGATCTAGCTGGCTTTTTCCCATTCCAGGACTCAATTTAAGTGGTATTGCTGAGCTCACATGCAAGCCACTGTGACCACCAGTACAGCTATATTTGCAAAGGAATCAAAAGAGCTTTTGTAGCTTGAATGTCTCAGTGAACAAATCCGCTGTTAGCAAAATACAAACAAGTTGGTCAAAAGCATTCGCTAATTATTTAGCTGCATGTTTGCCTTCATTCCCACAGATTTCCATGTCTTGTATGTAAGAGTTTCCAAGCAGGATCATCAGGACTGCTCATTGTCCATTACTGATTATCTGTGGTAAGTCTAAAAGATGTCGCATTATTTATTTTGTGATGTTTTTAGCCATCTGCCATTTCTTACATTGTGGCCTCCTGCACTTTTATTCTTCTATATGACATTTGATATAACTAACTGGATACAAGCTTTACTCAAGGCTGCAATCCTGCTGTTGCTAACCAAGCTTTCCCCTCTAGTGCCATTTCATGTTGAATTGATTTGTTATTGCTCATGCTGAACATGACTGCCCAACCAGGGGCTCACAGTTTCCTGGTCAGTCACAGGCTACAATTGGTTTGTTGCCTAGACTGATTCCCCGAGAAAGTATTTACACTTCCCGATGCTTGTACACAAGGTCACCACCAGCTTTTAAAACCCAGCCACTCCCTGGATTCTTCTTTCTTGTGAGCCCCTTGAAAATGTGTTCATATGCAGTCTAAACAAATCCAGCCAAGTTTAGTTCCTTTGGATATCTTAAAAACCACAAACTTGTATTAATTCTCTCTGTCTCTTTGACTATGCCTGTAATTGACCTGAGATTAGTGCTGATAGTGAGATTCAGATTAACCAGTATAATATAATGATTGCGAATTCTGTTTCTCTAAATGATGCTCCATATTTTACAATAATTTTAATTTGAAATGTATGAGAAACCTGACTTTAAAATGCTAGAAGACTCAGTGTACAAGGAGGATGCCAGTGCCATAGAGATAACATATCTGATTTACATGCTTCCTGTCAGAAGAACTTGTGAACTTTCTGTTTTCTTCTTGTACAGACTGTTCCGGGCCGGACGTTCTTGTCAGGTGACCCACACTCCTTCACAGGGGCCATGGTAGAGTATTTTCACTTTGTGCATGCTTTGGACAGTGTCCGCTGTCTGTTGTGTGGCCTCGGTGTAGAATTGGAAACTCTTGATTGATTTTTAATTAATCAACCATGTTTACCAGGATGTAGGCTTTTATGTCAGATGCAGCATTGTCAAAAGTTGTCCAAGGTTTTTTGGTGTATGGTTGCATCACAACATAACCACTGGACTGGATGCATTGCCTTTTGAACTGCGTGTTCTTGGCATGCTGCTGTGTGGCAGCTGCCTCCTGGCTGTCCTCAGCACACTGCTCCTCCAGCTGTGGTGACTCCGTGTATCAGCTCGGCTCATGCTGGGCCAGCATCCCACAGAATCCCACTGTCCGTTGCCTGCTATCACTTTTGAACACCTAAATATTTCTTTGCACAATGTTCAGACTAAAATCTCCTCCTGACCAAACAGAGACCACAGATTCCTGTTGATCTCATCAGCATATTTTCTTTCACCAAATTGCCCTCAAATTAAAATCCATGGCTCTGCTGATGGGTCTCCTCAGTGAAATATGTTCATCTTGCACATAACTGGTAACCTAAAATCTTCAATCTCAAAGAAAGCCTACAGACTGCTGATGAAAAGTGCTCTTAATAAAAATGTCCAGCCGACTAAAAATTTGATTTGGATTCTCCTTTCTTTTTGGTGTCTTGTGTAGATTAATGTCCATGTTTTCAGTTTAAGAGCCCTGTATGCTACTGGCATCTGTAATAGCATGGCTTGCTGTACAAGGCATGATTATAGTAAATTAGCCAGTGTTAAATGTTGTCGTGTGTGTGGGAAGGAGAAGACAACCACACAGTGCAGCATAAATACAGCACTGAAAAGGGTGGTTATAAGCCAGCTCTGTGTCACAATGAGAGTTGTGACACTTCTGTCATCTCCAAATAATGTGAAAGTCACTCACCTGGTGCTGTGGCCAGAAAAACCAAACCAAGGCCAAGTGAAACGAGTATGGCTGTAATCACACAGGCATTTTACTCTGCACAAAAAAAAAACGTAGGGGTTTGCGTGAGTCAGGGTATAGTGTTTCATGAAGTACGATTCGGAATATTTAGTTGGAAGAACTTATGTGTTTAAGTTCATTAAGCCAAAAGAGCACAGCAGTGTGTAACCCTCACAAACAGGATTTTACAACAGCTGTTTCATTTTTGGTTGTGGTGATCTTAAGGTAAACAGTAGAAAGACAGTATTCACGCAACCCACCAAAATTGCATGCTTGCTTGTATGTGACTGGCCAATGCACCGCCTTGCCAGATGATGTTACATTGCAGAAGAACTTGAACCCAATACACTGCATGATGCTGTGTCATTTTAGTGGTGGGCCCTGTAGTGCTAGTCCTCACTGCATCAGCAGCTTCCCTCATTCAGCTGGATGAGAGTGAAATCAGTGTGAATGCGGTCTAACACTCTTTTTTTTTTCCCTCAAAAACTACTACCGAAGTGGGCTGCATGCTTGTCATCGAGGGTTCTGCAAACCCTCTGCGCTCAATCAAAACCCCCTGTATATACATATTTTCACTGAAACTCTGCCCATGAGGTTGCATAGGTCCTTGGCTCTGTAGTACCATGTGACCTCAATGCTACATTAGAACCACATGAATACTATGTGTGCCGGCATCCTTAACTAATGGCTTGATTTGATGAAGTAAATCCTCAGAGCTATCTTCAGACATATGAAAATACTTGAAGTGCATCTTGTGATCTTTGGGGTGAATCTGTTTTACGAGTTAAATGAGCTCTCCATGTTTTCTTCTCATCCAGTTTAGATGACAAACAGACCATCACCTTGGTTCTCTGGCATGCAGTAAATACCACAAACACAGCAACTCCTCTTCTTCCTCCTCCTTTAGAATTTCATTCCATCTACACAGTTGAAGTGCAGTGGGAACTCTGCAAAGCCTTGTGCTACTAATACATACACATTGATTGTTGTGGCTTGCACACACATGGCCGGAGAGGCCGTGTGTAGTGACGTGCATAGCGTGTAGACCCCATAAGGTGGTCTTGTGCAAGGCCCCCCAGACAGTGTCTGTGGCACAGCTGTGCAGTCAAAGCAGAGAATGCATGCCACTGTACATAAGTGTGTGACAGTAGTAATGTGATAAATAAGGAATACTTGGCCAGCATTCTATGGACAAACATTTCAAAAGCCATATTAAAACTAGAAAACCAAGCAAAATATGAGACTGAAAGAAGGTTGTGGTTGTTAAAATTGATACTAATTCAGTGAATATTTTCTCTGCAGGAGGAGGAGGGGCAGCACAGCTTGGAGTGCATCCAGGCCAATCAGATCTTCCCCAAGAAGTCCCCCATCCTGGAGGAGGAGAACATGCAGGTGAGGGGGTTGTTGCTTATCTTGTGCTGTAAAAATCCCAGTTAGCCAGTCAGTTCTGTAATCAGTCACAGAACCACCTTGACACCAAGTTCATTGTCAGTTTGACCAGTGTTGAAGCAAAGTGTCAAAAGTGCTATCTGAATCCCTATAATCTGGAAAAAAGGAAGCTTATTTTACATTCTATGTTGAGAAACAAGCATAATGATGAGCCTTTAATCGCCTGCTTTAAGAAGCTACAAGTCCAGCACTTGTCATTGGTTGTTTGGTCATTCCATGTGGTCTTTGTTTTCCTATTTATACTTAACATTGTGTTGGTAGGTATTCAGTCAGCTTGTTGCAGGTGTGTAAATTTAAAAGCTTGCATTTCAACAAGTAGTGCGTGTTAACTGCAAACACTGTAGCCCGCTAAAATGATTGATTTGTCAAAGAGTCCTTTTTAAAATGGGAAGCATGTTCCAAAAACAGAAATGAGAACAACAGGCGAGTTCTTGGGTCCCATTGTTCTATAGTAAATTCACCAGTTGGTTATGGGGAAAGGTTTTTGCTGTGGAAAGAAAGTGAGTTTGTATCAGTGAAGCATTTGATTTTGCATATCTGATGTGGTAAAATGGTCAGCACATGGACAGACATTGCAAAATAGTCCTGATGTATCTAGTGAAGTATAATAATATGCATAATATCACTGGTGATCTATTGTATGTGGTGCTGCAGTTGGTTTCAAATGTTTTATCTCCTGCTGTTGCTAGGTGCCCTTTCCTGAACTGCACGGGGAGTTCACAGAATATGTGGGGAGAGCAGAGGATGCCATCACTGCTGTGTCCAACTACCGCCTACACATCAAGTTCAAAGAGTCCGTTGTCAATGTAAGTATTTCTGAAAAGTGAGTGATGAGCTTTAAACATGATTAGAGAATGTTTTTCACGCAGATCAGAATGCCCGAAGAATGAGCCTCATTGTTTCTACTTGAGGCTGTGTGACGGTATTAGTGTTTTGTGAATGGATAGAGCCGGGGACACTGTAGCCAGCACTGTAGTGACCAGGCCATTAGAGCTGATCTGCACTGGCAGCAGTGCCACGTGACTCTTCAACACCTCTTGTTTCTACACTTGCCTGGCCGCTCTGCTTTCTCTCTGTACTTGCAGTTGCCATGGTTGTAGTGGTTCCAGAGGGGATGCATAACAGTCGTGCCCTCTCTCTTCTCTTTTCACCATGTTAAGAGAGAGAATAGCATTGTGACCAAGTGTGGTCACTTTTTAAAACAGTCTCCTTTTGCCACTGCACGATGTTTTCTGCACTGTCTTTTATACTGTTACTAGACTGGTTCCAGTTTACAAAAATATGACTCATTACAATGTACAATCATGCTGTATATAAAAAAAACAAACAAACATTTATATGTATGTTCTGTATCTTGTGAACTAAACAGCTTTGTACTTCAAGAGTACATTGTTTGTACAGTGTAATATCTCACAGTCCAGTGACATACAATTCTTTGAACACTTTTAATAACAGATTTCCCTAATTTGTTGATGAAATTGTTCCCAAAATGCCTTAGGAAAATGATATGCTGGGTTCAGATCACAAACCTGCTCTGCTGCTGACATGTGAGAACTGAAATTTTGTGCAATGACAAATCATGTGCTGCAGAAAAAACACTTATAGTTATCCTTATTTTAAAAACTATCATCATCTCATTATATTAAAGGATACGCCATATCCAGGTGTATCCTCTAATATAATTTTATATTTATATTATTGCCAACAAATCCAATGAAAAGAACAAAACCAACAGGCAGTCCCACATACACTACACTAGTGCACAACATCTGCAGCTGTAATGGTCCTAAACAGCTATTTACTCCAGTTTGGGTAATGCTTGGTAAACACTAGTTCCCACATGTTTTGGAAAAAGTTCTAACCTTTTAGAAAATGAAAGCATATATTTATGTCCTGTTTTTAAGACTTGTCTTCCATGCACATAGGCAAGGGTTGGGGCGAGGGAAGTCAGGGAAAGACACACATTAACACATTGTACTTTTTTGGGCTTTTTAAGGGATTTATTAACAATAAAGAAAATAGAATATCACCAGTAGGAGTGTGTGATGTGACGATAAAAGATCGTGAATAATTAAAATGTCTCCACAATCTGCCTTTACACAGACTGTTTGCATTGCGCTACAGTGCACAGTTCTTTGGCCAGCATGCACCACAGAACAGTGCAAAACGTTTAGGCCACAATTAGTTTAGCTATTTTAGAAAGGTTGTAATAATTTATATTTAATGAACTACTCTCTACTGTATAATCATATGTCATTGATTAATTTAGGTTTAATATGTATTTTTTCAGTGGTTCTGGTGAATGTATCCATCGAACTGATTCCATGTCAGTCACATGTTGTTGGGTTTAAATGGACATCAGTGAGCCTCTGGTTACAGGGTTACAGGCTCACAGGCCATCCCTCAGTGCTCACATCAGACAGGGCCAGTGTTCTCCACACACACATTTGGAAGGGGTTGACGAGGCATCTGCAACACATGGCAGAGTTGTCAGAGCCAACAAATCAGGGTGGTAGGTGCTGGAATTGTGTGAAAGCCTGTTAATAAGCTGCCCAGGAATTTTGATGGTAGCCAGATTAGGGATATAGATTAGGGGACAGGAATTAAATCGTGGTAGCAGGATACTCGAACGTCCGGAATATGCTGCGATGGCACCTCAGCAAAGACAGAAAACAGCTAAAAAAAAAAAATCAACATGCATCCATTTCATTATTGTTCTCTCTGTTTTGTTTTGGATAGAGTTGTTGTTGTGAGGTGTCAGTAAGTACCACCAGAACTGCACAGTGTGGTGTGTGGGTGACTTGACTGTATGATTTGTGTTTGCCTGTCTGTTAACCAGCTGGTGCGTAGAGGAGTAGAATCCTGCTTGTTCATCCTGTTTAACACCAGGAGCTGGATTAAAGTAGATGCAATGAAAAAAATAGTCTTGGATAAACTCCAGACAAAACATTCAAGCTGCCAACCTTTTAATACATCACCAGGCAGTAACTCTGTCATTGCACTTGTATTGGGAGCTTGAGCTGCTGATGACCGACTGTCAATCGTGCATGACTCTGGACTGTGTGTGAACAGCAGCTTGAGCCACACCTCTTATTAAAGCCCTCTGCACTGCTGCAAAGTGCTCTTACTGTAGTGACACTAATTAACAGAGCTAAGCAAAAGCAGCATAGGTATTTCCCTGCAGTATTCAAAGTATGCTCTTAAATTGTGAGCACATGACACTTATACTTTAGATGGCATTTGCCTATAAAAGATAAGACCATAGCTATATGCAGACTTTAAGAGGATTATTTATAATTATAGAGCTTGGGGAGATGTGATGTGAAAAAGTAATTGAAATGTACCTGCACAAGTAATCTGTATGACTTGTGAACTTTTAGCTTAAGTGGTTTGGTTCATATAGTAAAATATTAGAAATAAAAATGTAATGTTGCCGCATGTTGGTTTCTTGGCATGAAGGCATCACTGTGTTGACCGCCACTAATCAGTTGGTGCCTACTACACTACTTGTACTGACTGCATGTGTTTGGTTAGTACATTTTTGGTATACCCTTTCTCAGGCATCCTGTTGCAGGATTAGTGTTGAGCATGTGTTAGCTTTCATTTGTGAGAATGGCTGAGATGCTAATTTAAATGTGTCCTTCAGAGTTTAGGTGGATGTGGGTTTGATGCTCCTTTTTTGATCTGCAGGTCCCTCTTCAGCTCATAGAGAGCGTAGAGTGTCGGGATATGTTCCAGCTTCATGTCACCTGTAAGGACTGCAAAGTTGTCAGGTATGACTGGTGACATACTTCTACAAGTCATTCCAACTGTTAGGCCCCCTGTTTGTTAAAGGAATAGAAACTTGGTTTGGAATCGCATTTCTTCTGTATCTAGTTGTAGAAAATTGTGATGGTCTGTGTGAAGTGAGCAGGTGACATCAAATAACAATTACAGCTAAACATCACCACTTTATTTTGACTTTTCTCACAGACATGCCAGACTTAATGTTGCTCTGGCAATATTTAAACATAACATGATAACAGACAGGTAGAGCCATGGACTATATGTTTGACCAAGATGAGCCCAGAATGGCCAGAACCACCAGAGTGGCTTCACCACATTCAACCCAACAAGAAACCACATGACAAGTTTGTGCTGATCATTGTCACAGAATTTACATCTAACCGGGCTTTGACTCAACCCGACAAAAATGTCAGCGCAAGCTCTTTACGTCACTGTGTTTACTGTATTTGAACCAGAGAGAGAGAGTTAATGATGCAGGTAAGCTATTAAATATGGCTGTAACATTAAAATAATTGAAGGTAAAAAGATCCATGCCCCTCTGCTTTGCTGTTTACCAATTGGAATTTGTGTTTGTATTATTATTATTTTATTTTTTTTTTGCAACTTGGAGTAGGAATTGTCAAATTTCTGTATTTAAAACAAATTCAAATGTAAATATCAGCAAAGATAATCAAATCAACTACTAATCAAAAATCAGCAAAATCGCCAAACAAGGAGATAAAGATGATAGAACCTTTCAAAAGGTTTCTCAGTACCTCCTTGTGCCCTCACAGTATTTTGTCATCTGGTTAAGGTGTAACATTGGCTTTTACATCTGATTCCCAGGTGTCAGTTCTCCACCTTTGAGCAATGTCAGGAATGGTTGAAACGCCTGAATGTGGCAGTGCGCCCTCCCTCTCGCCTGGAGGATCTCTTCTCCTTTGCCTTCCACGCCTGGTGCATGGATGTGTACGCCGGAGAGAAGGAGCAGCACGGCGAGCTGTGCAGGCCAGGTACTCTACTGTATCTCCCATGTCCACACATAACCCCAACAGAACCTCTGCTCTGGTCTTATCGGACATCTCTGCTCTCTCTGTAGGTGAACACGTGACCTCCTGGTTCAAGAACGAGGTGGAGAGAATGGAGTTTGACACTCAAAATGCTTGGAGAATATCAGACATCAACAGCAAGTTCAGGTACTAGCAGCTTTCATTCACAATACATAACCTGCTGCTGTGTTGATTTCCATCACTCCCAGCTTCGTCCTTTGCTTTCATTGGCATACAGCACAAGTCATTGTGTGTGTGTGTGTGTGTAGACACTGGGTGGTTGTGTTATTATACTCCAGTGGCGCTGTGCTCTGTTGTAGATAAGGGCCCATCCCAGGATTAGGTGTCTGTAGACAGAGAGTTTAGTTAAGCCATCACAGCCCTACCTCTCCTGCCTCTCTCAGTGTTTCGTTGTTGCTCTCTCTCTCCCTCTGTTCTGCCAGGCTTTGCCCCAGTTATCCTCAGCAGCTCCTGGTGCCCGCCTGGATCACTGACAAGGAGTTGGAAAATGTGGCAGCCTTTCGCTCCTGGAAGAGGTTTCCTGCTGTGGTTTATAGGTTGGTTGGTTTATTTCTCCCTTAGCTCTTTAAACCAGAAGCTCAGTCTCTTTAATCAAACTAGTGCTAGAAATAAGGGGAAATGAGGAATAAAGCAAAAGTATTCCACAGCTAGTCATACATAGTTGTCTTTGAATTTTTAATTGTATCATGGTTTCATCGAATCGTACACGGTAATGTGCATTGAATCACAAATTAGAAAAAACGTTTGATAATTTTTATAATTTCTCATGTTGTTCTTAAGAAAGGGGTGGCACAGTGGTGAAGGGGTTAGCACTGTCCCCTCACATAAATTGCCCATAGGTATGAGCAGTTGTCTGTCCAGTGTCTACCCCCACCTCTTGTCCAGTGTTAGCTGGGATTGGCTCCGCCCCCCCCTGACCCTGACAGGGTAGGCACCTTTAATTATGGGTGGATGGGCTTCACTGGATCAAGCTTCTGAAATTAGATTTAGTATTACATCTTACTAAACTAAATACATGTGTGTTTTGGACTGTTGATGAGACAAAGCACGCTATTTGAATAAGTCAACTTGGACTTTAGGAAATTGTAGCAATTAATATATTAACCAAAAAATAATGGTCATGTTTGTGGATAATGCAAATAAATGTTATATGTAACTCTACTGATTTAAAAAAAAAAAAAAAAGTGTTGTGCGAGGGAAATAGATAATGGATAAGTTCTCTCTTATCCATAACATAGCCTGTATCTTTGTACTTTCAGTGCACGCTGTAGCAGTAAATAGTACTTTATCCTGTAAATAACATTATAGCCCAGATTAAATGAACAGCCATTTTTTTCCCTGAAGGCAGTGGACTGACTGTATTTTTGTGTTGTGTCTAACCCCTCACTCACATAGACACCTGAACACAGGGGCTGTGATTGCCCGCTGTGGCCAGCCAGAGGTCAGCTGGTGGGGCTGGAGGAACGCTGATGATGAGCACTTGGTCCAGTCCATTGCCAAAGCCTGCGCCGTGGACAGCAGCTCCTGCAAACACCTTCTCAATGGAAGCTACACCAACGGCACAGACCTGCCTGATACTGACTTTGGTAAGAACTTGCACTGAGTTTCTTGCACCCTCTCACTCACACACTGACATAATGTATCCACCCACAGACACACACTTCAATCTGAACACACACTCCACACACAGCTCTTCAAGCTGAGGACTTGCAATGTGCATGTATTTGTAGCAGACGCTGTGCTACAATCTGACCTGTCATGACTTGTCTGAATCAGCAGACTCACACACAGAGCACAGTAACTTTGTATGTCAAACAGATTGGGATGCGCCTGGACACTACACATCCATGTTAATTGTTATAGTACTTGGACTTTTGATTGTGATAATATCTCAACTGCAACTCCACCCCAACCCAGCCCAAGTTTCATGCAACCTGAAGTTCACAGTTGTAAGTGTGATATGTTTTGTGTATGTATCAGAATCATCCATGACAAACAGCTCAGAGGTGGAGACGTTAGCCACCCAGCCCCACAAGTTACTGATTCTGGATGCCAGGTCCTACGCCGCAGCCGTAGCTAACAGGGCCAAGGGTGGAGGCAGCGAGTGCCCAGGTAGGTCCTCTCAGCTCAGTCCCTGGTTACAAGCAGATTTAGGTCACTCTGTGCTGTGGATTCAGTGGCTGTATTCTGTTTTCTGGCTGTTCTCTGTATTAAAGTTTAAGCTGCCACCAGTTTTTGTTTTCTCATGTTTTAACCCTTGTTTTTCTCCTGTTCCAGAGTACTATCCCAATTGTGAGGTGGTGTTTATGGGCATGGCCAACATCCACTCTATCCGTAAGAGCTTCCAGTCTCTGCGTTTCCTCTGTACTCAGATGCCTGATCCAGCTAAGTGAGTGTTTCTATGCCTCCAACAGTGCTTCCACCTTCTTCTGGTCATAACTCCACAGTACTGCAGTCAAAAACTATTAAACCCCAAGCTCTCAAACTTTGTTGTAGTAACTGTAAGTAACTAGTAATCACAGCTGTGCTTTGGCCTTGGCTTTAGAACTGAGCCTGATTTAGAAAGTCTGGGTCAACCCCAAGTGGAGATCTCTTTCCATCTGCACTCCCAGACTTGATGCCACAATGATGTGGAGTTGAATAACTCTGGCTTGAGTGAGCGTTGTTGAAAGTGGTTAGGAGATCAAATCAGAAGATAAAAACAGCTGCCTTTATGACCTTGTTTATGCAAAACAGCAGGGTGTAAAGATTTCTCAAATTTTCAGTTTTGTTTTGCTTGTCAAGTATTATGTAGCACTATGCTGACAATGATTTTTGCTGTCACAAGGCTGCCTGTGTCAGACTCCATAGTGCTTAGAATAATAACCCAGATAAGAGAGGACAAGTGAAACATTTACTCATAATTGAAGCGTGAAGTACAATGTCATTCATTTAGAATCATGCTTCTGGACACCTGACTAATGCAGCTCTTACATTTGTTCTGCTTTCAACACTTCAATTCAATCTCTGCCAACTCTTGAGAAAAAGATCTCTCTTCACTGGGTTCACCAGCTTGTCTTTAACTTTGTCTGTCTGTTGTGTGGTCCTGAGCAGGTGGTGCACAGTGGGTTTCTCAGCACTTGTTTGCTTGAAACAGTTGCTTAAAAACAACAGATTTGCTTAAATATGCATTATGTTTATACAACGTTTACAGTGCTCTCTTTGCATGCTTTTACAGAGATTTATTATTTATTTTGTCCCCTTGCATGTTGTAATTCTGCTACTTTTTAATTGTGTGGCCATGAAAAAGACATGATACACGTCTTGGTTGTGCAAAGCAGCTGAGGCTATAAATGATGCAGTATGTATGTGAAACTGGGCCATGCTATGTATTGGTCCTTCTGATTTTTTTATTTTTATTTTTTTATTGCTCTGTTCCTCTCTGTGTGCCTGCAGCTGGCTGTCTGCACTGGAGAGCACAAAATGGCTGCAGCACCTCTCTCTGCTATTGAAGGCAGCACTGCTGGTGGTCAATGCTGTGGACAGGGACCACAGGCCCGTCCTGGTGCATTGCTCTGATGGTTGGGACCGCACACCTCAGATCGTTGCTTTGTCCAAGCTGCTGCTTGACCCCTACTACCGCACTACTGAGGTACAGATGAAGACTCCTGTTTTCCCACTTTTGATATTTGAGTGAGTCAACATTTTTTCCAAAGTTTTTGTCAGAATATCTGTAAGATCTTGTGACATCTTTGTGCAGGGCTTCCAGGTTTTGGTGGAAACTGAGTGGCTGGACTTTGGCCATAAGTTTGCAGATCGCTGCGGCCATGGAGAAAACTCTGAAGATTTGAATGAGCGCTGTCCCGTCTTCCTGCAGTGGCTGGACTGTGTTCACCAACTGCAGAGGCAGTTCCCATGCTCCTTTGAGTTTAATGAGGCTTTTCTGGTGCGTGTTGGTGGTGGAAATCTAACACTATGATTGCAAATCTGTCTTCCTGTATTCATGTTCAGCTTTTAATTGTGAGCCACTGATATGCAGTTGCAGTCTGGGTGTGCTCACGAGTCGTATGAGGAAACCCCTGTCATTTTTATTATTGTACCTGAGGTGTGTATGCAAGTCTCTACACGTCCATGTGTATGTGTGTACAGGTAAAGCTGGTGCAGCACACCTACTCCTGTCTGTTTGGCACCTTCCTGTGTAACAGTGGCAAAGAGAGGAAGGACCGCCATGTTCAGGAGAGGACCTGCTCGGTGTGGTCGCTGCTCAGACCAGCCAACCGCGCTCTGAGGAACATGCTGTACTCCTCACACTCCGAGATTGTATGTCCACTGTCTGTCCCTGCATGTCCTTTAGGAAGTGGAGTACTGCTAGTTTTGTTTCTGATGAAACTTTAAAATAATTGATCTAACTGAACACCTTAAGCATGTTCAAAAAGATTTGTACAAATGACAAAGCAGACTAAAGTCCAACATGAGAAATGTTAAATCTGTCTGAAAATGTGTCGGTGTAATTAATTTGGAAAGCAGGCTATGGTTTCCAAATCCTGCATTTCCGCACAGAAAAGTCTTCAGATACATTATGGGAAAGATTAGCCCCTGAGCCATGTATTTCATAATGTGTCTTCAGATTTATTGTTAATTAAGGGCTCAAATGAGCCTTTTTGCAACCTTCTTACAATTGCATTTTTGTGGTCACTGTTGTTATGGTGCTTGCATTTGTGTGTGTGTGTGTGTGTGTGTGTGATGGCCATGAATGTTTTCTACCTAACATGTTTTCAGAGCTCCACAGGTTCTTGTCATATCATTTTTTCTTGGGTGAATGTTGCTGTTGTCATTTTCTCCTCTGATTATGTCCTGAGGTAAGTTTACAGCTGTTGTTGCAGGTTCTCCACCCAGTGTGTCATGTGCGCAATCTGATGCTGTGGACGGCTGTGTACCTGCCCAGCTCTTCCCCCACCACCCCTTCCGATGATTCCTGTGCCCCCTACCCTGGGCCCGGTGTCAACCCAGAGGATGCGCCCCTGGGCAGGTGAGTCTGGTGCGCTGGCAGCCTACCCCCTTCCTTCATCATGTAAGGTCACCACAGGCCAAGAACTCCCACAGCCGGAGAGGCCTGGCTTTACAACTCATCTGCATGGATACTTTGTTCTGCTCTGGCCCAGTCATAGATACTGTTGAATGCTTTGCTTATCTCATGCCACATGATAGTCATACCATGATGGAATAACACCAGGAAGTAGTTTCATTTCAATTTTGATAATGTTTATTGCAGCTTAGCTGTGTGTTAGACCAAGTATGAATGCTTCCTTTTTTGTTTTATGAGGCTGACATGCGATTGATTTGTTAAACATTTTGTGATGTTTATGTGCATCTTCAGACTGAATCATAAAGTATCAGACACACTGAGAAATTATTATGTAATGAAATGTTGTTTCTGTGCATAATGCTTCCGTTGTTTCCTGGTCAGACGTACGAAGACTCGCTCCTTTGACAACTTGCCCAGTGCATGTGAGCTGGGAAGCTCACTGGCTCCAAACCGTCGCTCCAGTGACCCAAGTCTGAATGAGAAGTGGCAGGACCACCGGCGCTCCCTGGAGCTCAACGTGGCAGCGGGGCCTGAGGGAGGGGGGTACCAGGATCAGGAGGTGCGGCCTAATGGAGTTTTGGTTTACGCAGATGGCATGGACTCTGAGCTGGATGACAGCCCACAGCCCCAGGACTTACAAACTGAGCTTGGGCGGGGAGCCTCTGTGAATCCGGCATCAGTTGGTGAGGAAGCAGAGGAGGCTGAGCTTTCTGTGGCAGTAGGTGTGGCCGAGGGCCAAATGGAGAACATTCTCCAGGAAGCCACAAAGGAGGAGGCAGGAGCAGATCAGAAAGAGGGAAGTACTGCTGTCAGTCATGTCTTTAACAATGTTGACATAGAGCTGAAGCAACAAGCAAAAGTTGGGGAGGAGGATCAGTGTGTGAAGGTCAATGGGACTGAGATGCACAGAGAAGCATTTGTTAATGGTCACCATCTGGAAAATGGTGTAATGGAATCTGAGGAGGATGGGAAGTCGCCAGCTCAGGCCAAACAAAAGGCAGAGGAGCTGGATCAACAGGCAGCTGAGGTGACTCAGACACCAGAGAATCTGGTGAAGCAGGATGTTGAAAACGCTTCTGTACAAGAGCTACTTGCACTTGGAGCCAGTGAGCCACAGCAGCCTGCAGCCCATAGAACTCTAACTAATGGCTTTGTGGACATGTCATCTGAAGAGCCAGGTGTGGATCAGGAGACCCGCCGTGACTCTGAATCTGACCGCTGTGTCTCTGAGCTGGTGGAGCTAGTGGATAAGAGGGCCTCCCTGATGGAAAGCTCCACAGAGACTTTAACTGAAGAGGCCTGCAGCAGGTTGGAGCTACCAGCACAGCCTCCTGTTTGCCTCAGTTGTCAGCCCTGTAGTGACGGCAGGAGCGAGCTGCCCTTCTCCAGGAAAGAGAGAGGACTGGAGACAGGCGAACTCGGCTTTATCAGAACTTTAAATGGGGGCACCAAGCGACCCTCTGTCAGTGCCTTTCAGTCTGCCAGTGCTGACCTCAGCAGGGACGGACTTTGTAACGGTGAAAGCTCCTATGGTGAGCCCTGTGGGGGTCCACACTGTGTCAAAGGGAATGGGGAGCGGGCCCCTCTGAGTCGACAGGTGTCTCTAGCGAGCTGTAACTCCCTAGTCCTCCCCCAGCGGGGCAGCTGCTCCCATTACCGCTGGTGCCTTGCCTCACTGGGCCGGGCCGCCAACAGCCCGGAGCAGCCGTCCCGCAGCCACCTGGACGATGATGGACTGACGCTGCACACAGACGCCATCCAGCAGAGGCTGAGGCAGATCGAGGCAGGGCATCAGATGGAAGTGGAGACTCTGAAGAAGCAGGTGCAGGAGCTCTGGTGCCGCCTGGAGAATCAGCAGCACATCAACTCACATAGGATCAACGGAGACATGGGAGATGAAGTGGTAAGATACTGCAGTAGGTTTTTAATGAAACACCCTGACCTGGATGTAACTGATCAGTTGTAACTGCACTCAGATGATTCCTTAGCATTTGTTGGTTAAAGTGAGCTTGATTCTGTCTCCTTTGTGCAGACCTCGATGACAGATTCAGAGTACAACCTAGACCCCAACTGTTTGTCACGCTGCAGCACAGAGCTCTTTTCTGAGACCAGCTGGGAGCAGGTGAACACACAGGACATGGAGGTGAGCTGCTGGGGTACTCTGAACTGATTTATTAAGGATGGAAAGAAAAAAGCTCTCAAAGCAATGGCTGTTTGTTTTGAGCTGGTATTTATAGACTTCAGAAATAGCAGTTGATGTTTGTGAATGAGCAAATCTGTAGCCAGGAGCTGTAAACTGATGTCCTCTGCATTATAGGTCACTCGCTGGTACCCTGATCACTTGGCAGCCCAGTGTTACGGCTGTGAGAGCATGTTCTGGCTCGCCACCAGGAAGCATCACTGCAGGTAAACACTGAGGATTATCAAGCTGCAGAAGCTCAGACTCTTAGTCACTATCACTGTAATTGACCCGTCCTGTTTGTCTCTGTTCAAGCTCCTCTCCTGTTCACAACTAGTTTCTCTTATCCATATACATCCAGACTGTGTCTAGATTCTGCTGAGGCTGTTTACAGTTCACACTAGGTAACAGAATGAGTCTCTACTGGGTTGAGGTCTTGGCTCTGACTAGGCCACTCCAAAAGGTGGACTTTGTGTCTCTGAAACCATTCTGTAGTAGATTTACTCCAATGTTTAGGCTCATTGTTCTGCTGCATCACCCAGATTGTTCTGAGCTTCAGCTTGCTGACAGCCACCCTGACATTATCCTGTAGGATACCTTGATAAACTTGGGAATTTATTTTCCTCTCCGCAGTGGCAAGAGGTCCAGATCCAGAAATAGCAAAGCAGCCCCACATCATGATGCTTCCTCCCCAATACTTCACTGTTGGGATGATGTTTTCATGTTGGTTCGCAGTTCTCTTTTTACGCCCTACGTAGTGCTTTGGGCTCTTCCCAAACAATTCTACCTTTGTTTCACCTGTCCACAAGACATTTTCCCAGTAGTGTTGTAGAGTGTCAACGTGGTCTTTGGCAAACTTCAGGCATGCCGCAGTGTTGTTTTTGGAGACAAATGGCTCCCTCCATGGGCAACACAGCGGCACGGTTCTTAGCGCTGTCCCTTCACACCAAGAAGGTTCCAGGTTCAAGCCCGGGCCGACCCAGAGCCTTTCTCTGCGGGGGTTGCATGTGCCTGTGTGGGTTGTCTCTGGGTACTCCGGCTTCCTCCCACAGTCCAAAGATATGCAGCTTAGGTTGATTGGTGACTCTGAATTGCCCCTAGGAGTGAGTTTGAGAATGTCTACAGGTTAGCCCTGTGATAGACTGGCAACCTGTCCTGAGCATTGTGTTGTGCCTTTGGAGTGAACTTGGCTGGGTGCCCACTTCTATGGAGCGTAGCCACAGTACTTAATCGTCTCTATTTATAGACGGTATGTCTACCTGTGGACCGATGAATATCTAAAGTCTTTGAGATGACTCTAACCATTTCCAGCTACAGGCAAATCAACAACTCTTGATCTTCTGAGATCTGGCATCAGCTGATGCTGCTTGTGAACAGCACACTGACACCGTTTGTTTTTATAAGTCAAGGTAGTTTTAAACCGCTCCTCCATTCTTGTTTCATTGATCAGACTACAACAAATAATATTAACAGATAACATGGATCTTTTGGCAGCTATCAAGTTGATGTGCTATCTGCAACTACTGAGCCAAAGATGGTTTGTGAGGGGAGAGAGCGAGACCTCACTCCGTCTCTGTAACACCACTGATGGACTGTGGGTTTGTAGTTCGAAAAGGCATCAGAGTGGTGACTCTTCTCCTGTCAAAGCAGGTTTAGGAGAATCTCCTAAGACAGTTTCTGTCTTCTCAGCTCACAAAAGCTGATCACAGATCCATTTTAGTCATTTATGATTTGAATTTGATAAAATGCTGCCTAATATCAACCCTGTTTGCAGACCACAGCTTGAAATAAAATAGACACTAACTTACTGTGCACTGTACTGTGCGAGTGGATGTGCTTAAAACAATGGCCACAGCACATCCTTAATGTGTTTTACTTTGAACCACAGCTGTATTTTAACTTTCCACTATGAGTAGGTAAACAAAGTTGTTTAAGTTTTAAGCCATTTAGTACTGCACTTTCACAAAGTGGGGGTGGGGGGGCTTTTTCGATTGTCACAGTAAGAGAGGTCAAAACTGCAGTTTCTGCATTTGCCATCATTGATAGTATCTGTCATACCTTCACTGATGGTAAACGCCCATTATAAACACACCAGTGCATTGTGAAGGTGATGGTGTTGTCAGGGTTGCGTTCTCATTATACAGCAGTTTTGGCAAGCTGAGCAGAGCTCTCTCTGCTTGACAGGCAAACAGGAATTTAAAACCAGCCTGTTATTTATTTAATTAGGCAGGGGTGCTGGCCTATACTGCTGTGCCCACACATACCTGTGCACAGTCAAGTAGGGTAGGTGTAGTGTGGCTTTGTGTCTTATACTGTCAGCTTCTGGTATTTCTTGGGCGTTATCATTTCCTCATGTCACTGTTGTGTGCTCTTTACTTGTGTTTCTCTCTGCTGGGTTGGATCAGGCTAATCACTGAATGGCAAAACTCTGAGCAGAGTTCATCTTTGGATGTTCAGATGTTCATCCAGTCTGGCCTGGAGTGTTTATTGTAAACAGCATAGACTTGATAGTCTCACAGTTGTGGCTATCTTAGATGTTTCTGAACTTTGTAAAGCTGACACACTGGCAGCAGGACGTGTGTTTTAGCATGTCAAGGTTTCTGCACTGCTCAGGCAGTTCTTATCCATCGTCTGCCCTTCTCCTCCTCTACAGTGGCAGGGAACCTGTCCAGGAGGTCTGGTGAGATCCGGCTCCCCCTGTCTCCCTATCTCCCATCACCTCACCCTCCACCCTCCACCCTTTTAACCTGGCA